AATCCTTTGTGGTTAATGTATTCATTGTTTTATCAAATATTTCAAACTGTGATGCTGAAATTTGATTTTAAAAATCAGTACTGATTTTTTTTTTTGGAATTTAAAAATCAGTAATTTTTGTAGTGTCTGATATGTGTTTAACACAATTAAATTGTTTTTTAATATATTATTTTAAACAAAAAAAAATAGTGTATTAAATTAATGTGTTAAAATTAGATTTAATTGTATTGAATAAATGATTGAAGAAATTTCCCGATTATATATGTTAGAGCCAGATTCCTAAAGGTAAATTGCAAAAGTCTTATGAAATTTTAAGACTTATAAAATGTCTCCCAAAAAAAAAATAATAATAATAAAATAAAATAATCCCAAAACTTTTGGAAGTTATCAAATTAATTATTCTAGCACGTGAAAAAATCTTTAAATATATAAAAATGACATATTCCTTCTAAAAACGGTATAGTGGTCATTATTTGAAATATAATACAACATTAAGAAGATAGCGGTTTTTGCAAATATTTTTTGGTAGAAGTGCCCAGTTTGGTAAAGTTTTAGTTTTGATTTGCGGTGATGGTTTTCATGTTTTTTTTAAAAGCGGTAACAGAATCTGTTTAATTGGTAACTCTATTTTGACTTGTCACATATCAAATTTTTTGAAGGTTAATTGTCTTTTCCTTCACAATTTTCACAACTCCAGGATAAAGTTTTGATTTTTAAATACTGTTATTTATTATATTATTATTTTTTACAATTTAAGAAACGTTATTTTATTATTATTAATTATAATCTAATAGTAAATAAAAGAGTTAATTTTATTATTTCAATTATAATTGAATAGTATATAAAATTTTATTTTATTAAATTTAGTTACACTCTAATAGTAAATAAAAGAGTCAATTTTATTATATTTCAATTATACTTGAATATAAATAAAATATTATTTATTATTTTTTAATTATACTTGAATAGTAAATAAATTATCATTTTATTATTTTTCAATTATACTCTAATAGTAATAAAAGAGTTAATTTTATTATTTTTCAATTATACATGTATAGTAAGTAAATATCATTTTATTATTTTAAATTATACTTTAATAGTAAATAAAAAATTCAATTTTATTATTTTATTAAATTTTCAATTATACCTGAATAATAAATAAAATATTATTTTATTATTTTTCTATTATACTTTTATAATAAATAAAATAGGCAGTTTTATTATTTTTATAAAATTGTAAATAAAAGAGTCAATTTCAAATAAAAATAAATTATTATTGTTTTTATATTTTCATTAGTACATAGGACCAGTGGAGGCGCTGGATTTTTTATATTTTTATTTTATATCTTAATTTTTTTAGAATATATGAAGATGTCCAAACTAAAATTACAATTCGCCTCACCCATTTTTTTTTTTTTTTTTTTTACTTCAAATGTTTAAGAATTTATGAAAATGCCCCCACTAATTCTTTTTTTTTTTTTTTTTTTGCATTTTACACTTTAAATTTTAGAAAATTTATGAAGAAAATCCTATTGAAATTACAAATAATGGATCCACTATATAAATTTATCCCCACAAATTAAAAGACCGACCCCTCACAAAATTTTGTAGGTCCGTCACTGACCCTTGTAATATCATGAAATGACAAATTTGCCCTTGAAAAAGCAAGTATGCAGAGGAATTTCATTTTGGTGCTCTCAACCTAGTGCTTCTCATTCAATTATTTGGAAAATTTTACTTGAAGACAAGGATGTGAGTACCTTTAAACTCTTCACTAACCTTTAATGTCATGACCAAATTGTTGTTGACAAGTTTGGCCATAGATTCCACAGGGAGTTGGGATCGTCCAAAGCATGCTTCTATTTCTTCTATCATTAATTAATGTTAAGGTAAGTGGTATGTTCCCAATTCCTCTCATGTGATAAACCAACAAATTTTGTGCTTTCGATGCCTTTTTATTGCTCGTTAATGCACCGAATTTTATTGCTTGTTCCATTGCTCTTTTTTGTGATATTGATGGTATTTGTAGTAAGGGAATGGATCCTCTTCAAAGAAATTTGTTTTCAAACATTTACAAATATTTAATCCTGTAATTATTAAGGCGCCACATCAACAACTAATGAATATGATATCGTTTGACTAAAAATGCAATTTAAGAATACTCAGATTTAAATTAGTTCTGCATGGATGTTGAAAATTGTTTAAGAGTTTGTGTAAAAATTACTTTTGAGTTATTTGATGTACATCTTAAAATACTTTCTTAACTCAAAAAAATCAATCGTATTTCCGGGTATGCCCTTTGTTTGACATTTTGTACATGTTAATCTATATGTATAAATTTTCCACTTACCCGGAAAAAAATAATAATAATAATAATAATAATAATAAATAAATAAAATAAAAGCTGACTTATAGCAACAAATTTGTACAGAATAATGGCAACAAAAGTAATAAACTTCATTAAAACTACAGAATAAAGACGTATGCACAATTAATGCTAGATCCAGAGAATACATAAAAGAATACTAGATGAAAAAAAAAAAAAAAAAAAAAAAACTTTTTATTGATGACAATGTAAAATTTTTCATATGTGGGACCCAGTGGCAGGTTTAGAGTCCTTGTGGCTCTTGGAGGTCTTAATAATTTTGATCAAAGAAAAATTGCCAAATGAGCAAGTATGTGAGGGGGAGGATCCTCTACTTCCTGTCTTCTTCAACCATGGTGCCCGTTTTTCTCTCCTGTGGAAGAACTTACCCATTATACCCTTCTTCCCGCCCTCTTTTCTTTGAGGATCATGTGGACTGCTTGAGGATCTCATCTTTTCTTCATCACTCTCTGCTTCCTTCTGCTTCTTTATGTCTGCAACGACAGCGGAACCCTTCCCGCCATCTTTTCTTTGAGGACGTGGACTACTTGAGGATCTCATCTTTTCTCCATCCCTCTCTGCTTCCTTGTGCTTCTTCATGTCTGCAACAACGGATCCTGGTTTCGGTTGAACACCTTCTGATTCTTCAATGGTGAAAGGAATTGAAGAAAACTTTGCAGAATCCGAACGATGATGAAGAATGGTGCGAGAAAACTTTGCTCTCCTTAACCAACCATTACCAGACTCTTCTTCCTCCATTGCTAAACCCTAGCACGTAAATCAACCGCCCTTAATCAGGATATCAAAGACTCTTGAAACTCAAACCTACTCAACCCTATTTATATCCTCCATCAAAATAACCAGAGAAACCCTAACCAACACAAACTCTAACTACAAAACCAACTCCAACTCAAAAAAACAAACCCTTTATAGATTCAAAGTGAAGCCGCCGCGTCAGCTTACTTCAAAGTCTGAAAAATTCTACGGATAAACTTTAAAAAATAAAAAAATAAAAGGTCATTAAATAGCCCCCAAAAGAAGTATAGATTGGATTGAAATTAGAGAAATATACCCATTTATAGTAACCATATTAACTGCCCATTTATTATTCTCAATAATCAATAATCAATAATCAATCCTTGCTACAGAGGAATCCTAAATTAATAAAAATTCGCACCCATCGTATACTTACCCCCATATAAATTACTAGTAATTAACTATAGGAAGTTAAATAAATCAATGTCATGCTTAATTAAATTGACTTATGGTATTCTCATATATACTCGTATGTATAAATTACTAGTAATTAATTATAGGAAGTTAAATAAGTCAATGTCATGCTATAGTTAAATTAAAGAGATAATTATAAAAAAATAGAATTTTGTAGGTAAAAAGTCAAAAAAAGATAGAGTCAAACTTCACTTTTTCAGATAAAGGAAGTTTTTCGAAAAGCTAACGTGGACATAAAAATTTGTTACAAATTAACCTAACTACCCATTCAATTTCTCTCTCTCTCTCCATCTCCATCTCTTTATCACTTTAGGGATTGACGGCTCCGGCACACAAAATCACCAGCATGATTTTTGTGATGGTCAGTGCCACTATGATGAGGAACCATTTGATCTGAAATTGAAGCAAACAATGATGTAATTTACCTTTATATTATTCTTCCAAACAAATACAAAATGATGTAATTTACCTATATAGGTAAATCCATTTGAACTGAAATTGAATCAAACAATGATGCAATTAATTTACCTTTACATTTGATCCGATATTCTTTGAAAGAGTGGAAAGTATTGCAGAACAGTTTCTTTCTGTATTTCTTTATATAGGTTGTGTAGTAATGGATGGAACTTCTATGCGGTCTTCTCATGCCAATCACATGAGCGTTACAGCTTCAACATCTGGCCGCAGCAATGCCCGGTGTGCACCTAAAGTGTTGGACAAATATCTCTTGGGCTCTGCTTGGATGATAAAGAGAGATGAAGAGAGAGAAAGGGCAGATCATTTGAAGGGGTAGTCTGGTCATTTCATAACAAATTTCTATGTCCACGTCAGCCTTTCATAAAACTCTATTTATTTAAAAAATTAAAGTTTGACTCCACCTTTTTGACCTTTTATTTTCAAAACTCTATTTTTTTAGAATTATCCCTAAATTAAAAATGGACTTATGGTATCTCTCATATAGTCGTATATACTCGTATGGTGGTGATGTCCTCCACTCACATAAATGTAGTTCCATATGACTCACATAGATGTAGTTCCATATGTCGCATTTTTCTTTATTTCCAGTTTGACTTTGAAACTCTGTCACACAGCAAAAGATTGAAATAAAAAAGGGATACAGAGGAGACAAACACAAGAATTTTTTTTATCATTCTTTGGCGCTCAACTAAATATGAGGTTTTAATCATTCTTTGGGTATCATCATCTACATATTTTTGTTATATGCTATTACAAGTTCACTTTTGATCCCACTTTTACTAGTACATACAGAGAGATATATAATATAGTAACCCTAAAGGTTGACTTAGAGCACCAAATTTGTACAAACTAATGCCAACATAAGCACAAACTTCATTATAAGTATTAAATAAATGAACCAGATTTTCATCTCAATGCTGGCCTAACATATGAAAGTGAAGCATTCAATACTATAAAAGAGTTCTGGAAAAAAATGAACCCTTTCAATTACATTGTAATATGGTGAAACTACAAAAAACCAGATCATCAGAAAGAATTACGTGGATTACATTTTTTTTTTTCCTAATTGATACTCACACATACACACACACGTCTATTTTGAGATTTAAACCCTAACCTCCTTTTGGGAAGTAAGAGACCGATACCGCTAGGCCGCTGGATTACATTTCATCTGTACAGATTATTAAGATGTATGCGGACCAAGCTTTTGATTAATCCAATGAAGAAGCCCCTTTTTATCCAGTACCAGATTTAGAGTTCCATCAGGGGCGAGCGAAGACTGAAATTTCTCTAACACCTTCACAATCTGCCAAAACTCGGGCCTCTTTTCTGGTTGCGAACACCAACATTGCTCAATTAAAGCTCTCATAGCAGGCGGACAATCCCCAGGGATAGCTGGTCTCAAATTCTGAAAGAAGATCCCAAAGCATGTTGATGTTAGAATTACAAATATTAAGGTACATCTTCGGAGTCCTACAAATGAAACAAGAAGGCCAAAAAAACGAAGGAAAAAAAACAAAGGAATTCGAAGGCCAAAATAAAACAAGAATATGCTGCATATATCCTAAGTTCTAACTGCAGAACCAGATAAAAAAGTTTGCAATTTGAAAACTAGGGAGCTTCATCCTATAATATTTCCACAAAAACTATAGGAAGCAGAAAATTTATAGAGGGTGATTCAAGAAATCATGTAGCCTACTGAATAAGTACTGAATTTGTTTTAAGAAACACGGTGGAATAAAATGAAAAATTCTACCATTTGATAACACTGCCTTTCTCTTTCAAGGGAACATATATGATACACAACAAAATTCGGCTGATGAAATGAGTCAAGCATCACGCAGTTCACGGAAAATTAAGAGGAACAACATGCCAAACTCATCATCAAGCTCTGTGCACTTAACAATTAACATTTCTATGTGGTTGTTTTTAGGTAAGCCTGTCTTGAAAAAGCTGAGCACATTTAATTTGTGCTTTTGACCTCATCTAAATCATTTATGTGCGTTTGAAATAGCATCGACCTCCAAACTAAATCCAGAAAAGAGGAAGACAAAGAAATAGCTACGCACAGGGATTCATCATTTACAATGGAAAAAAGCTGGATATGCACAATGGACATTTGTAAAAATATAAAAGCAATAGCAATAAAAATGAATTCATGAAGTACCTTATTTGACACAGCAAACGCAGCTTGGATGGGTGTCATATCCCCATAAGGAATAGTTCCAGCTACCATTTCCTGTAAAATGAGTCCAAAGCTGTATACATCAACCTTCCGCCCATAGGACTTCCGTTTGATCATCTCAGGTGCCATCCATCGATAAGAACCCGGGTCATCTGCCAAAGGACCGCAGTAAGCCTCCTCACAAGCTATTCCGAAATCAGCAATTTTCAGGTGAAATTCTTCGTTAATAATAATATTCTCAGGTTTGAGGTCCCTATGGATGATGCCTTGTGAGTGAATGTATTCCATTCCCCGACCAATTTCCTGAGCAATTGTGATTATTTTCTGCAAGGGAATGGGTTTTTTCTCAAGCTCAAGCTTGTGAAGGTACCCTCTCAATGAACCCTCTGAGAGATATTCGGTAATGACGCAAAAAACTGGTGGCTTTCTGGATGCTGCTACAAACTGTATTTACAGAAAAAAGTTATAAACAACTTAAGTCAGAAAGGGTTTAACAAAAACATCAATACTCGAACTTCATTCACAATTTAAATAAGTCTGACGTGATGTAGTAGTCATATCCAGAAGTAAATGTTATAACTTCTGCTCCACTCGTCAACTCATAAACCACTTGAATGGAAACTAATTTTAAAAATGAGTAATACACAAGAGCTTAAGAGTATTGAACAGAGCAAATTCAGAACTTCTAATTTCCACAAACTAACAGAAAAATTGATTGATTTATCATTAAGAACCAAGCAACAGATGCTGAAAGGGAAAAAAGTTAAAGAACTCAAACCTTTATGACATTTTGATGATGGAGACGAGACAATAGAGTGACTTCTCTGTTGAATTGCTTCTCTAGCCGTGCTGCCAGTGCTCCATTCTCGTCATCATCTGGCACCCTTATAATCTTCACTGCAACAGGTTTATCCTTGTATATTCCATGATAAATCTGACTATATGCACCATGTGCAAATTTAAGCCCAATAAATAAATCAGAGAGATCAACCATCCATTCATCTGCCATTTCCACAGAGCTAACTCGTCGTCCTCCGTGGTCAAAATATTTTGTCCATGACTCCTCCTTCGGGATCTTTGTCTTAAGAAATTTCATCAAAGAGAATTTCCCAACGGAGCTGGTATGTGAGGCCGACTTTAAATATGGTGCCCGGATTTCTTGGGGATCCTTGTGGAATAACTTACCAATAATTCCCTTATCGGGTTCTTTTCTTTGAGGATGTGGAGTTGAGGATCTCTTTTGCTCATTCTGAGCGTCCTTAAATGCATCAGGAACTATGGTTTCAGGGATAGCTGATACGGATCTTTGCTTGTTTAAAACAGAATCCCGGTGACTCTCTGCAACAAGGGGTCCTGACTTTGAATTAACAGAATGAGTTCCAGAACAAGATTTCACACCCGAGTTCTGCTTCAATGGTGAAATGGTGAAAGGAATTGAGGCAAACTTTGCAGAGTTCGAACGATGAAGAACAGTACGAGAAAACTTTGCTCTCCTCAACCAAGAATTAGCATCTTCGTCCATTGCTAAACTTGGTTACTACTATTCACTGTCTTCGCCTCCAACAAGGTCAGAAATCAGAAAATCTTCAAAAACAATTTATACCAAAATTGACGTTAGAGAAGCATTGAAGGTTCAAAGCCACAAGCGCACACAAGAGCCCAGAGTATCTCAAACCTTAACAAACTTGCCAAAAATCAACCCTCAATCAGAATCAAAGTCTCTTGAAACCTAAACCTACCAAACCTAGAATCACCAAACACCCTAAACAAAGCCAACCTCCAACTCAAAGAACAGACCCTTTTTATAAGCTTCAAAATCAAATTACCGCTTTGCTTGAATCAACAGAAACCCTAGCTTCAAACTTCAAAGTCAAACATTACCTTACTTGAAAGCCTGAAAATTTATACGCGTAGACTAAAAAATACGCAATTAAATAGACACCCATACTAACTGTGAATAAGAATTAATCATTGCTTCAAAAGTATACTAATCCCATTAGAAAACATATCATATACTATACAACACACACCCATTATTATTCTCATTAACCAAAAATCAAAATCAAAATCAAAATAAAAAATCAATCCTTGCTCCAAAAGAGTCCTAAGTTAATAAAAATTCCTATCAATATAATATACACCCATTATTATTCTCATTGACCACAAATCAAAACTAATCCTTGCTTCAAAAGAAATCCTAGACCCGTTAATTAAGCTATCATATACTGTACAACTCACGTATACATTAACCTCATCAACCACAAATCAGAACTAATCAGTAATCAACGCTTCAAAAGAAATCCTAAACCCGTAAAAAAAAAGTATTCACATATATACAAAAACACCAGTGAGCATAACAAATGGATCTGAAGCATGTGGTACTAACCAAAATGGTATACAAATCACGTTACAGTGTAATTATACCTCAAACGAATCTCTGCGTAAGAACCCATTTATGGGATGAAGCTCTCTCTCTTCATAGTCGATGACGGAGTGGATCCTAGAGAGAAGAAACAACAGGGTGTACTGATTTGAAGAAGGAGGAGACTCGAATTCATCGAATTCAATGCGTATTGTAGACAGAACTGTGTGACCGTACATTCCATTGACCGGAATTTCTCGCCGAGAGGCGAGGGCTGTGTAGAGAAGTGAAGAAGCCGGACGTTAGAGAGAAGCAAAAGAATAAAATATAAAAAATCCGTCACTATCAGAAAATGAGACGCCAAAATTGTGGTAGTATTATGTGTGTGTGGGCCAGTAGGCACGATTAAATGGTACGAATCGTATGCCTCTCGTATAAATTACAGTAATAATCAATTAATAATCATAGAAAGTTAAATAAATTAATGTCATGTTGGAAATAAATTAAAGAAATGTTTTTTTTTTTGGCAAGGCAAAAAAAGTTACATGCTAGATTTTAGTAGGTGTAGATACTTGATTTTACGGGATATTCTTATTCAACAAGGCTGTTGGACATCAACTAAATTAAAGAGTCTTGTAAGTCATTCTCAAATTTTTAATTTTTTTTTGAACAATTCTATATGGGTATTTCTTTCTTCAAGCGTTCTTCTAGGGGCACAGAAAGATTTAATTGTCAAGGAAAAATTATATATATTAATAAATTCATTATTTTATCATATACCCCTGAAATTTAAATTAATATATAGTAATAATGAATACATATTAATAAATTTATTATTTTGTCATCAAAAAGGCAAGTAAATGTGATGACAGCATATTGAAGCTGAGTCAAAAAAGCAAGTTGATGTAATTCTCTTTATTTAATGTTTTGATGTTCTTAACTCAATTTATAATTGTAGATTGTGAACTTTAATTCGTACCATCTTATGATTTCATATATAAGGACGTTTAGAATTGAATTGAATTAGATTGAGACATTGAAAATTGCAAATTATAAGGAAAGAAATTAAGGGACTGAAACATATATATTTTTTATTTTTGGAATAATGAAAACTTTTGTTGAATCCCCACCTTTGGATGTAAGGCTTTGCCGAATTATATTAAATCTTTGTATTTTTTGTGGGTATGGTGTGATTAATTTCATGTCTTATTTGTTAATTTATTTTTAAGTTTGTTGCCTTTTTATTATATTATCTTTTGTTTTTTTGTTTTTCTAGTTGTTGAAGATAAAATGAGAGAATCAACTCAGAAGGTTTGCACTTTGCTATGTGCACAAAACCAACAACTGCACTAGTAACGAAATATATGATGGTTATGGCCTAGAGTGGAATGATGCAAAAGTATCTCCAAACCAAATCGATGTAAAAGTTTCGGGAAAAGAAAAAAAACAAAAACGGATGTAAAAGTTGGGAAAAGATTTTGGGGCGTTTGGCAATCCCTTCTGCTTATTTTTTTTATTTTACTAATGTACTGTAACAAAACATTAACGCGAAGCATGTTGGTAGTGTTTGATATCATATAAATAGTGTTGAAGCACTTCTGAAAAAGAAGTCAAAACCGGAAGTGAAAAATTGATTCCGCATAATAGCAAAAACACAGTTTAAAAACAATAAAAAAAACTCTCTAAAATGACATTTTTAAGTAGTCATTTAATTTTTGGAACTTGCAACAATTTTTTATTAAACATGCTTTCATGATTTTGCTTCAAAAAATCTTGCAACAAATATATGTTACCAAACAAGTTTCGAAATAGTATTAAACACACTCTAAAATAGAAACATTACTTCTGTTTCGGGTCGAACCAAAAGCACAAAATAATTGTGATTTTTTTTTTTTTTTTTTTACTTGCAAGAAAACAGAACAACACAACACACTACATAGAAAACAGAGAGCAGTCCAAAGCTGCCAACCGAAACAAAAACACCGAAAGCTCTTGCAAAACTTGATCCTCAAGTAGAAGAGAGTTGAAAGCTTAGCGACTTCATGAGCCAAATAATTGTGGTTGCCGAACCCTTTATTAAGTACTTTTGGAGGAAGGCTATGGCATTGGATGCTGAGAAGTTCCATTGAAAGACACTCGCCATAATTCGAGCAGACTGGCATAATTGTTTGCTATGTTAATAAATCTTTTGGGCTGAGCCCTTGTGGACTCCACTTGTTAAGATCAAGCTTGTTCAATTAGGAAACGAAGTTTGAAAGTGTATTTTGAAATTGATTGCTTAACGGACCACGTTGAACAAGATAAAGTTCAACTTGACTATGCTCAAGAACAGAGCTAGCGTAACTGTTGAATATTTATATTTCATAGTAACAAAGTCCTTCAAGAAGCATATATATAAAATGCAATGAAAATAGGACTAGCACATGAAATTTTTTTGTATATAGATAGAAAAGAGTTCTTTCAAAATTGTGGGGGGAGATTATAAGGAATTGGAGGATTCTAGAATGTTGAAGAGATTTTAGATATTTGTAAAGAGCAAAGAATATTATAGAATAATAAAGTATTTTTGCGGTGTTAGTAAATATTTAGATCATTTATATAGAGAGTCCCAGCGAGTATGTAGAATGCTTATAAATACGACTTGAGAGTTTCATTTGCATGCAACATGTTGGGTGGGGAGAGTTTTGTACAAGCAATCTCTGATTAAGATATTGTTGGGATTCATATTAATTTTGTTGGTGGAACCAAAATTAATACAGTAATTTTGGCAGGCAAAAGTAGCTAAGGCTTAAGTAGCAATTTTCGAAGAGGGATATTTATTTTGGGACTGATTGACTAATAATTTGAATGTAAACCGGTCATTAATAAAATATTTTAAAATTTAAAATCACTTGCCGATCACTTAAGTTTTTTACTTAATTTTTTTTTAATTCTTGCGTAATATTATAATTGGTACTCTAAGTTGTTACGGTAATATATACGCATATTTTTTTAAATAGTTGAACGAAATTATTAAACATAGATTTGAAGTTGTCAAAAAAACTTACATTAAAAGAAGTCGTGGCAATGGCGTACAGCCTCCACCGTGTCATAAAATTTTTTTCGAGTAATATAATGGACAAAGTGAGAAAAGCATCTGGTTAAATTTTGAGCAAATATACCTTTAAAGTTATATGTTTTTTTTTTGTTTTGTATATAAGTACGTTAAGTTTTTTAGGAACACTGTTTTGTTCCATTCAAATAATGCCTTTAAAAAAAATTTTGAAAAACACTTTAGTCATTTCACATTTAATTATTTTTAATCTATTTTTTTCTTTAGTTATAGAGGAGCACTTTAATCTTTCAATTTGTTCAAAAATTGAATGTTAAGAATTTTTCAAAACAGACACGGGTTATACACTCTATGTGCGCGATATTTTTGGCTCCTGACTCTAATATAATTGATAAAGAGTATTATTTAAAAAATTCGCCTCAAATTATAGAGTCGGCCATGCATTCATGTCCATTGTCACTCACCGCTCGCAGACAAGTCGTGACTCGTGACACCTTTCCGGAGAGAGTCACCCAGCTTTCTAGCTCAAACCCGTTCAATAAAAAGATGAGAGGTCCCGGTGGATCTAGAAACTTAAGCCTATTAGAGTGGGCTGAACTATAAAAGCCCATTCATAAAAGTCAAGAAGCCCACTTGTTAAATGAGCCCATTAATGAAGTTTAAGACCCATTATGTGTCTAGTGCACAGTGTTGTGTTATTTATCAATAGTAGAAAGTAAAACATGTTTGGCACGTCTACAACACAAAGACATCCACAAGTAGTTTAAAATAAACCAACTTCAGATTATGCCAGCCCTGTCATCCAAACAACAAACATGCAGTGTTGGTGGAGAATCCTCAAGCTTGCACAAACTCACAAGCAAAGTTGTCTTGCTTCCAATATGGAATAAAAATGATGATGGTCCACCAAACTCCACCAAACCACCATCATTTTTTAGCATCATTAGTACCAAATCAATTAGTACTAGAATTTATTCCAAAGCAAGAATTAGGACAAGGACAAATGGAATTTCTATGATTAAGAAGTTGTAAGTACAGGGCACCACCATCCCAAATCTCTCTCTCTCTCTCTCTCTCTCTGAGTCTCTCCTATATATATATATATATAAATGTTTATATATGTATGTTTCGGCCTCTCCGGACCTTCAGACCTTTCAATGGCAGAGCCTATGAGCTAATAACGCCTTATATGTTTATGTCTGTGTGTGTGATGTGTGTTTTTTGGATAGCAATACGAAGTTTCCTGCCCACCCCACCAAGCATAGTGATGTAAGTAGTTTCTAGGAATGAACATAAACAGGAAGACAAGCCACATATTTTGAATGAAAATGAAAGTACAGAATTGGAATCACAATCTAAAGTTCATTTTGCTATTATTACACATCAATTTAATTTATGTACATTGTACACCACCATTTCTAAGTCTAATTCTCTTTCTGTAGAGTAAAAATTAATAAAATCTCTTCTCCAACAACTAATTTAACAAACATGAATTGAACATAAGCAGAATTGTACAAAACCAAAAGCCAAACCTGTCCAATCCTATTCTATGAAAAATGCTCTATGGACCCCACTTGTCCCAACATCACCACTTCCATTCTAACACAACAAAATTGGCACAAACCAACAGGAACCATGAATTCTATAGTAATTACTGTACATTCACCTTCCTTCCACAATAGCATCAGACCAAGAGAGTGACATTGAGGAAGAGATGCCTTGTCTCATCTGTTCAAATGTAGGGTGTGAACCATGGCTTGAACTTTGAGAATAATTGAGCCACATTTCCTTAGATTTCATCTTTCCAAGCAAGTACTTATCCATGTCCTCGCCTTCCGAGTCATAATTCTCATTATTCCCTTCCAAAACCTTCATCACTTGTCGCATTGTTGGCCTAGCATGCGAGTCAGGATGAGTGCACAAGATCCCCAAATGGAGAATCCTTTCGATTTCTTCTTCATCAAACCCTCCTTTAGCTTTCAATCGCTCATCAAGGGCGCTGACTAGCTCGCCTCGCCCCATTAACTCCCATACCCTATCTACCAAAGGTGGTTTCCCTTCCTCTATTGGTCTCCTACCACACATTACCTCCAAAACCAAAACCCCAAATCCGAACACATCTGTTTGAGCTGATGCACGCCCACTCCTAAACACTTCCGGAGCCAAGTACCCCACGGTTCCAACCACCTTTGTGGTGGTAGCCACTTCCCCATGTCCATGAATCCGGGCTAGCCCAAAGTCCCCTAACCTTCCATTCATTTCTTTATCAAGCAACACATTGCTGGCCTTAATGTCCCTATGCAACACTTTAGCCTCCCAACCCTCATGTAAGTACAAAAGCCCTGAAGCTACATCTTTCAAAACTCTTATTCTGTCCTCACAACCCAACAACTTGTTCTCTTCACACTCAAACACCCTCTTGTCCAAACTCCCATTTTCCATATAATCATACACCAAAATCAAGCTGCCTCTCTCTTTCTTGCACCAACCTCTCAATCCCACCAAATTCCTGTGCTTGAGCCTCCCAAGGCTCGAAACCTCAGCCAAGAACTCCCTCATTCCCTCATTGTTGTCATGAGAAATCCGTTTAACCGCAACCTCTCCTCCTCCCGCCAACACACCTTTATACACCTTCCCATTCCCTCCAACTCCAATCACATTTCTATCCGAAAACCCCTTTGTTGCAGACTCAATCTCTTGATAAGTGATTCTATGTGGCCAATACTCCAACTCCCATTCCTCCATTTCCGCCCTCTCCCTCGCTCTCCTCCTCCTCCTCTTGATCAAAGACAGGGAAACCATAGAACACATAACAACAACAAAGAAAAGCCCCACTGTCACACCTGCAATGAACCCTTTTGACCGAAAAATCGAGCTCTTAGGAAGCTCAAAAGATGGCAATCCCTTAGTATTCAATCCTTCACTCAACGAAAAATTCGAATTGCTAAAACTCCAACCCAAAATCCTATGACTCTCAACTAATCTTCCTGTGGCTGCAGTGAACCCCACATACATTTCATCCTCAAAAACATCAGATAGATTAAGTGACATATTCAAAAGAGGCCTTTTAGGCCTCTTCGTACCCAAAACAACCATAGTAACATTAATACTAAAATCAGAATAATCAATCCAAACTTGATAGTTTTTACCATTATTGAGCTTCAATTTCTTGAAATTCTTCTCATCTTGACCACCATCATCACCATCAGGCCAATACCCTGCCTCATGAGCAATCTCTGATCTGAGTGAATTTATATTGATGCCCACATGATTTTCACTAATGTCATCGAACTCTTCATTCTTGAAAACATCAAATTCAACCCCAAATATATGATTATTGGGATCCCCATTATTGGTGAAGTTGAGGAAGCCCAAGTTCTGAGACGAGCTCGAGCCTTCGGTGCCAGTGAAGGGTACGAAGAGGAAGACAATTCCATGGCCTGCGAGGACCTTTTTGGAAGGAGCCATGGAGAAGATGAAGGAGGTTGAGAATGGAAGGACCAGTGAGGAGTTCGGGCCTTTTGTGAGGATTTTTGATGGGTACAGAGCTCGGCCGATTGAGAAGCTTGATTCATTGGTGAGAGTGAGGATTCGAGAATCAACTGTGGCGTTGCCATATAAGGATATATCAGAGGAATTGAAGCCATTGAAGAGGAAATCTGTGGAGAAGATGGGTTGGAAGCAGAGGATGAGTCGGAGAAGATAGAGGAACAGATGGGTTTTTGGGTGTTTGTTCATTGTGGTAGAGATGGAGCAGAGCTGCCTCTCATGGAGGATAGAGAGAGAGAGAGAGAGAGGGAGTGTTGATAAGACTTGAGAGTTGAGAGTTGATGCCGTGATAGATTTTCTCAGGTGTAAGAAGAGTTTGAAAACATTGTTTTAGTCAACATTTTAGGATTTTTGTGGTGTTACGGTTTTACCCTTTGAAAATCAATAGTACGTGAAAAGTTAGTCGGCTCAAATATAACTTAATTATAAATGAAGTTGAGTCAATATTTGTACTCTCATAAATTTTTTTTTTTTAAATTGATATTTTGTGTTTTCTTCTTTTGACAAAATTCTTTCCCATTCACTTTCAAATGAATAGCATATATTAAAAAAATTACAGGCGTTAATGTTCTTTGTTTTGTTAAAAGATTACAAAACTTAATCGATAACAACGGTGAGACGTATACAATTGTGGGACAATTATATAATTATTGTAAATAATGTATACATAATATTATATATATATATATATATATATATGATATTAAAAAAAAACAAACAAGTTAAAGTAGCTGCACCAACTAAATAGATGATATCTGTTAACTCTGTGTGAATATATTTAATGAAAACAATTATAAATTCTAATTTTAAAAATTAATTATATTATTCTTCTTCTAAAAAATGTCAATGCCATTATATTATTCCCTTCTTTAACTTTATCCTTGATGCCAAAATAAATAAATAAAATTTGGATAAAAAACTGTAAATGAAATGATATCGGTTGTACTAGTATTTTTAGTGAAAACAATTATAAACTAAACTTAAAAATTAATTAATTATATTATTCATTAAAATGTCAAGCAGTGTGAGTGTTTAGTGTTAACTCTCAAACATTGTGAATATTAATTCCTTTCATGTATAAAATATAAAGTGATAGATGGCTACCTTCAATATAAGAAAAATATTATTAGGCCGGCAATAAAATATACAAGGAAGAGAAAGATACTGCCTTTTATTTTTTAATACATTGAAATTATATAAGGGTATCTTTGTACTTTCATACAGAGTCAATTTAAAGAACTTTCCTCCTCACGTAATTGTCTTTGAAATAGTAGATAAACTTGTTTGAATAATGTAGAGAGAGAAAGAAGCGAGAAGGATGAAGGAAGCGAACAAAAGGAGGTTGGAGAAGGCACGTTGGCGGCTGACGGCATTTGAAGAAAAATGGAGTTTATCTAATTCCATACCAAACAAACAGTCACCCACTTGTGCGTGTGTACACACCACACACCACACACCACACACCACAACAACAACACGTAGTTACTGTGTGTACGGACTTGGTGCCCCAGTGGGGTTACATTGAATTCGTACGTACCATCCAAACACATGTCCTCTTAATAAAAGGAGGTGGTGTTTGGTTGGAGGCTTTGAAGTCAATATAACGGACTCCTTATCAATAAGACTAGATTTGAAGATTCCAGAGGGTTACCGTAAGGAGAGGATTCGTTGCAAAAAGTTATGGTGCGTGTTTGTTCAATTTTTTTAAATTTAGTTCTAAGGATTCTAAAAATAGAATAATAATTTTAAAAAATTACAAAGCTAGGAAGGTTTTCTGTTTTCTAATAATTTGATAATCAAAAAAATTAATTGTAAATATATATGCTTGGTTATTTTAGAAAAGTATATGACTTGTTTAATTCTGTTTCTTGAGGAAAACTTTTTGTTTTTTAAGAATTGACGGTCACAAAAATATATATATATTTTTAAATTTATTTGGTTCACCATTCTTAGAACTATTTATTTGCTCAGTGGGTATTTTCACTCTTATTTTACTCCATGTGACTCAAATTTTGTGACTTTCTTATTTCTGCTTCGCTTTTTGCTTTATATGACTTAGTTAGGGGGTGACAAGCCCACGTGTATGTAAAAACATTGAAATTATATAAGGGTATATTTGTATTTTCGTACAGAGTCAATGAAAAGAATGGTTCCTCCTCGTCTCATCTATGGCCTTTGAAATAGTAGATAAATTTGTTTCAAAAATGTAGAGAGAGAGAGAGAGAGAACTGAGAAAGATCAACGAAGAGAACAAAACGAGTTTAGAGAAGGCACGTTTGCCGCTGACGCCATTCCAAGAAAAATGGAGTTTGTATCACAAACTGAAATTGTCACCCACGTGTGTGTACACCACAGCAAGTGTAGGAGTCGTTGCTACTCTGTGTACGGACTTTGTGCCTGTGGGGGTGTACGATCCAAACACGTGTCCTCTTAATAAAAGGAGGGTGTGTTTGGTTGGAGGCTTTGAGGTCAATATAACGGTGCAAAATCATCTCCAGTTGCAAAGTAAGCCATTTCTCCCTTTTAGAATAAGTGGAAAAGGATTGGCCACATTGTTTGAAAATTAGGGTGAGACAATATTGACTACTATGGTATATTGGTATTATAGAATATAAAATATTTAAGTATTATATAATGAAGGCGAAGATGAAGTTCACTTCAAAACCCAAATACGCTCCAAAATTGACTTCTCAACAATCCATAGTATCATTCATAGATTTAAGTTTAGTTAATCTAAATCTTGATTTTGGATATGTTTGCACTTTCTTTAGTAGTATTTTGTTAGGATTTTTCTTATAACATAACCATAAAATAAAGTAAGTAATGCTTGGGATACAAACTACGTATTGTTTGGAATGTTAGGTAGGATTATGTTGGAATGTTACGTACAACTTATATCGACTTCAATTACAAAATGCTTGAGTTATTATGCAGTACATAAATAATTAAACAAAAAAATCTTCCTCTGTTAATTTGGAATAAAATAACATAGTACAAAGGAATTAAGAAATAGATGTATTATTTGTTTTGAAAACAAATTAAAGATAATTATTCAGACTTGAAAAAAAGAAGATGTTGATAAGCCAAAAAAACGATCTATTTCTCTCTTTAACTTTTTTTCTCTGAAACCTTTGGGCAATCTAAGCAATTGGCGGGATTTGGGTTGATTGATATTTCGAAAGAGAAGAAACTGGCTGGATTTGAGTTGCAAAAATGGATTGCTGAAAATAAGGGAGAGAAGAAGAAATCGTATTTGTGAACAATGTATACGTGTGTGTGTGTATATATATATATATGTATGAAAATTGTGTATAAAACAAATACATATTTTTACTCACCATAGTAACTATTATTCATTAACAAAAATGAATAAAATGGGGAATTGATGAACTGGAGAGGACTACTTTACTCTTTATCAATTAGACTATATTTGAAGATTCCAGAGGGTTTCCTATGGAGAGGATTAGTTGCAAAAAGTTATGGTGTGTTCGTTCAATTTTTTAAAATTAGTTCTAAGGATTCTAAAAACAAAATCATAATTTTAGAAAACTATAAGGGTGGAAAGCTTTTGTTTTCTAAGAATTTGATAATAAAAAAATTGTAAATGTATATATATATGCTTGGTTATTTTAGAAAATTATAAGAATTTGTATGGTTTAGTTTTGTGAGAAAAACTTTCGGTTTTTTTAAGAATTGACAATCACAAAATTGTTTTTTTTAAAAAAAAAACTATTTGGTTCATCGTTCTTAGAATTGTTTTTACAAAATTGAAAATAGTTTTTGCGTTTTTTTAGTACCGAACTGAGTCACACAATATTTTTATACGGGTGCCGCCGAGCGAATATTTTCGTTCCTACTCTTCTTTGTGTGATTTAGATTTTATCACTTCCTTATTTCCGTTCCTGTTTCCACTTTATATGACTTAGCTAATAAGTGACAAGTCAAACGCACAGGAACATAAAAACTATTTTTGGTTAGAAATAGTTTTTTTTTTTTTAATTAAAATTTTAAGAAATTGTCAACCAGACAAAAATTTATATTATTTTTTTAACAAAATAGAAAATTATTTTCAGTTCAAAATAAAAAAATATTTTAAAAAAACTAATGCAAACATGTGCCCCTTAGTGTTGCAATATTTCTAACTTTTATATATTATTTAATTAATGTTGCATATGATATGGCAATGTTTCGCAAGATAGAAGATATATATATTATTATATTATATTAAAAAAAAAAAAAAAATGTCCATCAACTTTCTAGTTTTGGGAAATAATTTTCATTTCAACTTTGTCATTTTGACACACAATCGGAGTAGAAAAGTCCATAATTTAAAGGTGATGTTTAATGTTGAAATGAATGGAAAAGGTAAAACTTTGTGATAAGTGAGCCAAGAAATTTAGATGATCAATTTGCATGTGCAATTAATGTAAGAAAGACTATTTTTACAAATTACTTTATTAATTCAAAGGACAAATATGGACACGCATGTTTGAATTTCTGACAAGGCAACATAGAAATTTAAAAATCATTTTACAAGATTGTCAATCAATCACTATGAGGCATTTAGTGATCTGGACTAATATTATATTCGATGATCACGTCATCTTCAAATCTTTAAGGCCCCTTCTAATTTTTTTTTTCCCCTTTATTTAAGGGATTTAAAAAGTAAATAAAAATAAAAATAAACTTTATATGTCATCTCCAATAAGAGTATAAACTAATCTTATGGTTCCTCCGGTAATAAGGAAGAAATGAAAGATAGATGGGAAGAAATAAAATTTTTTTGTTTAGTAGAAAAGATACACCGAGGGAAGGAAAAAGTGGATAGGTGAGACACCTTATAATTTTCATAAATTTTCATTCCCTAAATATGAATGGAAAAGAAGGAAGATTGTTTTAAAAAAATTTAAAGTACAATGCAATATTTCATAATTATCAGATAAATTAAATATTATCCTTCTATCTTAACAAAGAAGGTCAGGTGTTCCCTTCTCTTTCATCCAACTGACAAAACAAAGGAATGACAATATCATTTTAGACGTCTCATCCATCCATTCCTCGCGGAGCATTAGAACTACCAAAAGAATATACAAATTACAAACCAAAAAAGCATAATAATATATAAAGGTGGGAAGAAAAGTCTTGATGTTGGAAACCCTAGAATCATATTTGAATTTTATAAAACAAGAATGATAGTGCAAAGACGTGGTTAAATAATTAGGTTGTTTGAGAGTTCTTTTTCTTTTTCCTTATTCTGCATATTCTCTCAATTAAAGGAGCTAGCAATAGGGTTCATTTGCTCAT